AGAATGTGGGGGGAAGGCCGGAAGCTCATCTTGTTCTTGCTCAGCCCAGTAAAACCCTGCAACTTAGGGCCTCTGGGGCACAGCCAGACCAACCTGTGGATGACTTCAAATAGTTTATTGTTAAATTGGCATACGATTCACATATCATACCATTCAATAGTTCAAGCTGATTAAGAAGAGTTGTGCAGTTTTTAGAACAATTTCTTCCTTCTCTCAGTTATCATTGTTAGCTCCGCATTTTCCCCCAACCTCCCCTGCCATGCCCTCGGGGAATTACTAATCCTGTTACTGCCTCTACAGATTTACCTATCCCGGATTTCATAGACAGAAAAATAGACAAAACAATCTAGAAACAACAAAAACAAAATCTCAGTGGAAGAAAGAAAAGATTAAAAACTGGGACAAGTTTTAAATGGGTCCAAATGGATCTGCCTTAAGTGGCTTTGCAATGCTCTGCCTGGTAGCAGGGCTGTCCCTTATTAAGGGTCAGAGGGGGTTCACCAGAGGCTTAATCCACGCGGGGACCCCCTTCAGATGGACCTTAGACTTTCATTGCCAACCATAGCTTTCTGTAAACCAGGTTTCAGAATTTAAGCTCTGAGACTGTCTCCTCCTCTGGACTGGGATTTTATTGTTTACAATCCTTGGATCACCCAGGCTGGTATGATTCTTCCATGGGACCTTGGTTGACATCGGTTCTTAGGTGGTACAGTTAGTGTGCTTCCTGCTCACTGAAAGGTGTGAGGTTGGGGCTCACCCAGGGGCACCACAGAGGAAAAGCCCGAGAGTCCACGGCGGAACAAACCAACCAGCCAGCCCTTGAAAAACCCTTGACCCACATGGGTCCTGCCGGGCGTGGGAGTCAACTTGGCAGTGACTGATTTTAAGTAACAGAAAATGGATCATTTTATACTTATGAACTTTCAAAGTTGAAATTCAGGGGGTGGGGGTGGGGGGCTCTGCTCTCTTTGCTAACTCTAGGAGAAGGACTGTATTAGTCCAGGTTGACTAGAGAGACAAATCCAGAGACACTCCTATGTGTATAAGAAAGAACTTTATATCAAAGAGCAATTGAATATTGAGAAAACATCCCAGCCCAGTCCAGATCAAGTCCATAAGCCCATTATTAGGCCATATGTCCAATACCTATCTATAAATTCCTCTTCAGACTCACACAACACATGCAATGATGCTGAATGCAGGAAGTTCACAGGCCAGTGGGTGGAAAGTCTTGTGGATCCAGTGGTGGTGGAAGCATCTCAGCGCTGGCGTGGGTCCTCCAGCTCCAGGGTTCTGGCTCCATCACTGTAGCTCCATGTGGCTTTTCAACAGGAATATCTCACAGCAGAGTGAGTGTGTGTCCTGCCTCCAGCGAACTACCTATCTCCTTAGCACCTCCAAATGAGGCCATCAAGCTGTGACCTGATTGACAGGCTAAACTCCACCCCTTCACTCTTAATAGTCTCATGTTGACAACAGATTATGTTGTCACTACCACAAGGACCTTCTTTGTCTCATTAGTTCTGGGGGGGTCCCTTGGGTGCTTGTAGAGGGATCTCCAGGTGAGTTCATTACCAGCACAGATCACCCAGTAAGGAAGGCAAGCATGGCCTAGGCCTATCCTTACCTCACTCACTGGGTGCTCTGTCCCTGTGGGGGACTACTTCTGAAAAGAAACCTTGATTCTGTAGGGAGGGGGCGTTGGATGAGAGACAGCTGCCAGCCAGACCTGAAAGCAGAATTTCTGATGTGGTGAAAACACGTGAAATTGTTCACAACTGGTTAGTGAGTAAGCACAAGTACATCCGTGCTTACCATGCTTATTAGGTAGTCTGGCCCTGATCTTCACCCTGTGGTGGTTCCTGTGTCTGCTTTTCTCTCTCTCTATTTTGAAAACCTTTTATTGTGAGTTGTGTGAAGGTTGACGGAGTAACACCAGCATTGCATTCAACAATTCGCGCACATTTTGTTTCAACTCGTCCTCTGCAATCCTCTCAATGTACTGTCTTGTATCCGGCGTCCTGCTGGTGTGTCCGGTTGCCAGTCCCTCTCCTTTCCTCATCTTCTGAGCTCGGTCCTTCCTTAGGTAAATGCTGTGGAATATCAACGCTTGACGATTCTAGCACAGGATGGGTCCAGTTTCAGACCAGAAGGGGGACTAAGGGCCATCATCTTGGGGGTTTTTACCAAGCTCTATCCAACCAACGGGCCTGGTCTCTCTTAGGATTTTGAGTTCTGTTCTAGATTTTTCTCACACCTTATCGGGGACCTTCTGGCCGGATCCTTTTCAGAGAGTTGGCAGTGGTGGCTGGGCACCATCTAGTTCCTCTGCTCTCCACGTGGTGGGGACTGATGTCTGGGTGATCCCTTAGTCCATGATTTCCACATGTCTTTTGATTGTCTTCATTCCTATTTTCTTCACAGGGGGAGAGGCCAGGGGCTGCACTTCAGAGGGCCACTCTTGAGTTTTGAAGACCCTGGTCGCGCTACTTACCAAAGTAAAACGAGCATAGAACATTGTCTCTGTCGATTGTGTTATGCCAATTGACTTGTTGTCCCTCGAGACGATGTCCTGAGCCCCTAGCCCATCGACTCCCTCCCTCAAATGTTGGGGCTGAGAAATTTTCACAACTTTGTACGCGCCACCACCTTCATGGCTATCTGTGCGGCAGGACAAACACCCAAGAACAAATATCTTCTGTGAAACCTTCACAGAGTCATGGGGTACCCCACTCGTCCTCCCACACCTGTCTAGCCTGGGCATCCATCTAGCCACACATCTCCTCTAGGACCATAATGCAGGTCCTTCTCCTCTGTCCGGCGTCTCTCGGGCGAGGCCCACCTCCCTCTGCTCTGATGTCAGCAATGTAACTCCTAACACTCGAAAAGAAAAATCTCTGTTTCTTCCAGCAAGGCCGTACTCACAGGGACTTCCCACTCCATACGTAGCTCGTCATTTGTGACTGGTTTCTCAGACACCGATTACCGGGATTTTCTTCCGAGGTGCCTTCGGGCGGCCTCGTACTTGCAACCTGTCAGCGAGCAGCTGAGCGTGCTCCCAGCTTGTGTGGAGGGGGCAGTGCTTTCGGTGGCATCTTCTGCTCTGTGTGTGTGTGTGTGTGTGTGTGTGTGTGTGTATGGGGGTTTGGGTCAGGAGAGGAGGAACAGGGCTCGGGGAATGAGAGCCCCTATGCCGTCAGCCAGGAGGTGGGCTTAAATGGTGGGACCTCCTGGGCACCTTTGGCCAAAGGTTGCCGTGCCTCAGGCGTGTTCTCATCCGTGTTCTGATCCGTGTCACTGCTGCAAACAGCCACTTCGTGGGAAATGGCCCATAAAAGGGATCTTAAACTGCAAGAGGTGAAACCGCAGC